CTGATAATTTACTCACCCCCATGTCATCCAAGATGTCCATGTCTTTCTTTCTTCAGTCGAAAATTAATGTTTTTGATGAAAACATTCCAGGATTTTTCTTCATATAATGGACTTCAATGGGGTCCAAACGGTTCAAGGTCCAAATGACAGTTTCAGTGCAGCTTCAAAGGGCTTTAAACGATACCAGACGATGAATAAGGGTCTTATCTAGAGAAACCATCGGTCATTTAAAAAATAAATAAAAAAGTTAAAGTTTTATAGGCACAAATGCTCGCCTTGCTCTGTTCTGTGATGCGCGTTCGTGACTCTCCTGTTTGAACTCGTTCATCAAAATGAACGAATCTTTTTCCGAGTCATTTCGTTCGTTGAAAAATTATCAGCAAAAGTTTTTTTTAAAGTGAACTAATCCTTTAAAACCAGTTTCTCAAACTTAAACTCTAATACTTAAAACCAGTTTCTCAAACTCATGTTTAGAAATACAGATATAAATCAGTTGATCTGAATAAAAATGCTGGTAATAAGATAAATCATAATTAGGACTGTCACGATCATGATCATTGTCATACAAATAATTATGATTAATGATTTAATTCTGTTTTATTTGTCTGTTTTCTGTCGTAATATATAATATAGGGTTAGTATCGTCTATTAAACACATTTCTGTTAATGGAAATAAAGATTGTATAAAATAAAATGAAAACATAAATATTAGATGGAAAACTTAAACTAAACAAAAATTAGAAATGTTGCCTTGGCAATAAACTGAAATAAGTTTAAGTTGTAGCTCAAAAAGTATTAATTGGAAATAACTAAATCTAAAAATATATATATATTAAATCTAAATAGCATTATTAAATAACAAAACAATAGAATTACAAAAGTACACGACAAAATTATTAAAAGACTAAAAAACATAAAAATAAAAGGTAAATTAAAAATATTAATAAAACTATCATAAAACTAAAATAACACTATATATAATATAATATAACATAATCAGGCTTATTATTGTTAACTAAAACTATTTAAAACATACTCTGTTAATTGAAATAAAACTGACATAAAATAAAATATAAATATTAGTTTAAAAATCTTAAACTAAACAAAAATTAGAAATGTTGTCTTGGCAATAAACTGAAATAATCAGTAAATCTATTAACTGGAAATAAATAACAACTAAATTAATAATAAATCTAAATAGCAATATTAAATAAAAACACACACAATGAAATGACAAAATAAAAAAAAATAAAAAAAATTAAAATGACCATGATAATAAAAAATATACAAATAAAAGCTAATATAAAATGTTAATCAAAATGTAATAAAACTAAAATAAAAACTAAAATTTCACTGAATATAATATAATATAATATAATATGATTAAACCCAAAAAACCTTTGACTATCTTTGTGTATTTAATGATCTTTAACATGAAACATGATATTGTGCATTTAATGCCATGTCTTTAAGGCAAATGTGATGGAAATTTAAACAACGTAATTATTGCGGTTATCTCAGATGATCAGACGGTTAATCACAACAGGCCTAAACTAAAGATGGAGATCTGAACTCATTGAAGTTATTTCTGAGTTTGAGTGCGTTCACATGTCAGACCGGATGAAGGAGTGTGTCTCCTCTGATCTAGTAAACGCTTCCTCCTGTGTGCAGAGCGTGGTTATTGACGAGGAATCCGCCAAGAAGCTGAAAGTGGTGGTTACCGAGGCTAACGTGATCGTCAACGTCCCCTTCATCGTGATCAGTGTTGGCGTCTTACTGGGCGTGATCTTCATCGTGCTCATGTGCCGACAGCAGCTGCCACAGGTGATGTCACTTCCTGTGTTCTCGTCTTTACTTGGACTATATCATTGAAATAAAGCTGCAATAAAATAAAATAAATATCGTTGTAGGTTTTACAAGAAAATACAAAATCAGAATTTCATGTTCATTTCAACCTGTTACTTGTAAGTGTTTTTTAAATTTATTAGCAATTTTTAAGTGAAAATTTTAAGTTTCTATGCCAAATTATTTTTAGTGTAACTAAAATAAAACTGAGTACCTAAAAAATAACAAAAAAATGTAACTAAAATTTAAATCTAAAATGTAAAACATTAAAATGTATATTATATTATATACACTTAGTTTAGTATAATATAATATAATAATAAATGGGCTGTCAAATCGATTAATTGCATCTAACATAAAAATTTGTGTTTATATAATATATGTGTGTATATTTATATATATATATATATATAAACACACAGATACACACACACACACGTGTATATATATATATATATATATAATATATTAGTATATATATATTACATATATTTAATGTAGTAATAATATAGTGTATATAAATTATTATAATATATAATTATAATAATATATATACACATATTATATAAACAAACTTATGTTAGGTGTGATTAATCGCGATTTATCGATTTGACAGCACTAAAATATAATATGATATACTATAATAAAATATAAAATTAAATATAGTAAAATATAATATAACATAATATAATATAATATTGGCTGTCAAATTGATTAATCACATCTAACATAAAAATTGGTGTTTATATAATATATGTGTGTATATTCATATAAATATATATACACAGACACTCACACACACACGTGTGTATATCTATATTTATATATATATATTATTATTATTATATAAATGATGTAGTAATAATATAGTGTATATATTATTATAATATATAATAATAATAATATATATACACACACATTATATAAACAAACTTTTATGTTAGATGCATTTAATAGCAATATAATATAATATAACACGGGTCACTTAAATTCATAAACGGATGCAGTAAAAAAGGTGCAAAAAAAAAAAGGGAGTAATTTGGAGCTCTTACATAAACAGTATTAATGCTTCATAGATATTGCACATTTCATTTGAAAACTTAGGTAAACTCCAGTCATATTTCATTATAATATAGTTTGATGTTAGAATTGGTGTAAGTAAATGCCAGGTTGAGGCTACACAATATTTAGTCTGTTATGATTGACTGATAGTGACTGACTTCAGGAAACGAGTGTAGTCTGAACCCGTCATAACAGTCATATTCTAATAACCACAAAAATACACAGCACACACAAACATTGGGTCATTATAATCAGATCCATTGGTTGGGCTGCTTGTAAACAGTGTTTGTGTTTGCTCTGATCTTCTAGAGCTCTGCGGCCGAGAGACAGCCCCTGCTTTCATCATAACCTCCCCAGACGTGGCCATAAACTGGACCATATCAGGATGAACTAACATTCACGTAGACTTCGAGGAGGATTTGCTTTTCACACGGCGAGGGTCAAAGGTTGAAGCATCAGACGGCTCCAAGTGCGAAGAGTGTCTCGGGTCAGCCCGGCTGTCGGATCCGTGTTTTTAAATACCATTTCATTTTAGATGATTGAGGATCATAGAGCCAAAAAGTGCAGGTGTCTCCAAATTAGCCAGTTTATGAGTTTTATGTTATGAAAAAAATCTGAAAAACACTAATGGAGTGGCAGTGATGCAACACAAATATGAGATATGGTACACATCACCACTGACGATAACTATATTATTAATACGCTTATGCAATTCTTTACCATGAGCTCATCTGCCAAATAAACTGACAGTGGTGCCGATTTCAGTACTAATGCAAGTTATAGTCTGTGTATTTACAGCCAATAACATTCAGGATCATTGTGTGTTTTAAAATTCTGTTGCTGACCAAATTGCCACCATCTTTGATTTGGTGCAGTGATGTATTTGCACTAAGGTTGTTTTCTCTTCTGCCATATTAAGTGATTTTCTTTGATGCAAACCAAGATTTTTGAGTGTTTTTAGAGTCGATTAATAACATGTATATACAGTAAACCTAGACAGTTAACAGGCTGATTTGCCACTAAAAGAAATGATGACCTTGATCACTGATTTGCACTCTATACGCAAATTATTTTCAGTGTTTCACAGTTTCAACAGCTCAGTATTACTACAGCTTTGAGAAGGTTCAGCTTGAACTCATTAACAGTCTCAGTATGTTCAATATTCATTTACATGCACAGATCAGTTTTTATCTGATGTTTATTAAGCCTCGTGTCCGCATGGTTCACTTTATCTGTTATTCTTGTTCAGGTGTTTGGTGGCTGGAGGTTATGGTGTTTTTTAAGTTTGAAAAGGGACGAGGGTTTACTAGTTGTTTAGTTTTGGTGAATTTAACAATATTACAACATTGTTATATTACATATTACAACTGTGGTCTGATTTCAGTTTTATTTAACCTCAAATGACCTTCAGTCTACTATCATCTATCCCGGACGAGCCCCCAGATCTGTCAGATTCATTTCCAGGTGACGTAAACGTCCATCAGCGACCATCGTTGACTTTATGGAAATATTCATTAAAGCTCTTAATTATAATTGTGAAATAATCATGTCGAATGTGCTTATGAATTAAGACCCAGTGATGATGACAACAACAGCTGTTTTAGGTTTATAAAATTAATGTTAATGATTCAGTTTTTAAAAATAATTGTTTTATCAATTTATTTCATCATGTGAGCATTTTAGTTTCTGTTTTTCTTTAAAAAAAATGTGTTGCACTATCAATGTAACAAGATAATGAGACAAACAATAAAACATTTTAACAAAAATATTGCATCTCACTTTATGTCTGATATTTACAAAATAAATAAAATAGTAATTCTTTGGGAAGATGCAGCTGAAAATAAAATACATTTGCTACAGATTATTTTGCCATATATGATTGTATTTTATCAGATCAAACATGGGCCTCATTGAATCTGAATCGGGAACTAAGCATGCAAAGTTAATATTTTACACGTTATCAAGATATGCACAACGCTGTTAATGGTGGCTGATGATGAAACTGGAGTTCTTGGCATGTTCCTGAGTTTCTGAAGGATTGAATCTGTCAAGAATATTGTCATATTTCACTCCAAAATCAATATAAAGAAATGAGAAGTAATATCATTTTTTGATTTTGGAGTTTAATATGACATGTACATTTCTTGGAGAGATTCACCTGAATACAGTTCATGTAAGGTCTGACAGTCTTTAGATGTTGGATGTAGGTCCTGATGTTTGAGAAATCGAGGGATGGGCAATTTTAGCCATTTTGTTTTCCATAATTTGAATTTGGCGCCAGAATCATCACGTCACTCACGCCGGTTGAGCTTTATTAAAGGCGCATGTGTGTTTCCTGAAAGAGAGGAAAGGGTTGGTAAGTTAAACTTAAACACTCACACAAAAATATGATGAAAATCATAAAAAAGCACATATGAAATGCGTGTGAAAAATTCCCACTAATGCTGAAGTGTATCATAATGTTATTTGCTCCGGTGTTGCTGATTCACGCAGCGGTTAAAGTTTTCTCTGATAAACTCTTAGTCTTATCAGTCTTTTAAAAGGTTGAGGTTGAGGTTTCCGTGTGAAAGTGTGTGTTTTTTTTGTGATTAGGGCTGTGTGTCGATACAACCACATAGTATTATTTCGCGATTAATTCGCGTTTCTCAGAGCGCCGACAGTTCCTCGTGAGGCGCCGTACGCGTGACGAGGCGAGTTTCAATTCAAACGCGATTCCGTTCAGGAGGTGAAGCGCGCGCGTATCTAGTCACAATCTACATTATTTTATGTCCCCTTAGTAAATATGAACGCCATTTAAAAAAAACAAAAAAAAAAACATCTTCTATCACAATGAAGTGAACATATAGGTGAATTTCAAAGCATTTATCTTCTTTGGTTTGTCTAAGGAAGTGACATCATTGTTGACGTCCTCATGTCAAGTTTTCATTGAGCAATTACTTTAACTGTTTACAAAAATCATGTCTGCCAAACCTACAAATACTTTAAACTACTACAAGCATATTCGGCAACACTTTATAATAACTTCTTATTTGATAATGCATTATCTAACATGAACTAACAATGAGCAATATAAGTCTAGTTATACAGCATTTATTCTTAATATTAGTTATTAATATTTGTTATTAATTAGAAATGTTAGTAAATGTTGAAATGAACATTTAAGATTAATGATGTAAATGAGTTTTGTTTATTGTTCGTTCATGTTAAGTCAACTAATGTTAACAAATCGATCCTTAATGCAAAGCGTCATTGCATATCAGTATTCATTTTTTGGTAACACTTTACAATAATTTTCTGTTTATTAATATTAGTTAACTGCATGAAAAAGCATTTAGTTAATATTAATTTTCTAATTATACATTATTAAAATCAAGTTGCTCATATTATTTAATGTATCTGAACTGACATGAACTAACAATAAACAGTTGTGTTTTTATTGACTAACATTAACAAAGACGAATAAATAAAGATAGTTAATGCATTAATGGGACCTTATTGTAGTGTTTCCATTTAATTTTAAGCATTTAATAAGCCTATTAAAGGGATTAAATGAACAATAAACAACAACAATTTTAAGAACAATAGAAACGTGCATATAGTCAAACTTTTAATGCATTTTTTGGCCCTTTTAATGCTTCACCTGCAGTAGTTTGTTCCACACTCATAATGATCTCTGCATCCAGAACCCACGGGTTTCAGAGTGTTCCATCGCCATAGCAACGAGCGTTTGGCCCGATGGATCAGTCCAGTTGCCCAGTCAGAATCTACGGGTGCCGACTGGACCTGCGGACGGAGAGAGGCAACCTGTCAATCACATGAGATCAGCCAATAACAAACCACAACCATCCAATCAGTTCCTCACAGACAAAATCAAGCCCCGCCCCCTACATTTGTTCTTGTTTGAGAAGCAGTTTCACTCGGATATACGGCGCTATAGGGAAGAAAAGACGAGCACAATTTTCAGTTCACTGAGGTCCAGAGATGATGGTTATTTATTAAACATCACAATATCACGGCGCTTTGAAGGGCGATCAGTGTCCCGAATTGACAAATTTAGACTTTTGAGCAACTAAATTTAGAAAGTCGACAAGGTCGTTCCAAACATCTGTGCAACTGCTGACAATGATTGACCGAAGCCTTCGGATCCTCATCGGCGTGTGTGTGTGTGTGTGTGTGTTACTGTACAGAATAAACCAAGCCTTTCAGTTCTCATGGACAATCACAGGAAACCGATGAGAACAGATCCGTGTTTTTCCAGCTGGAGGAAACATTCACGTGCAGATCACGAGAGGATCGGGTTACGTTTGCAACTAACATCTCGACTGATATGTTTTATGACGGATGTGAAGAACATTTGAGTAATTGTTCCATTATAAAGAACCTTTTGTGGATTGAAAAGGTTGTTAAAGGTTCTTAATGAAAACCATCGATGCCCATAAATAACCTTTATAATCAGCAGTAAAACGTTTTAATTTGATGCATTTATCAGCCGGTCAAATGTTGCAAACTTAAAACCAACAACACAGAAACAAATGAATGACTGTAAAAATATAACGGTAGAAATGAATATTAGTCTATCCCTAGTACTGATAATCTTTTAGCTATTTGTTTGATTTAATTGGATACAAAAATACAATTTAAATTACACTAATACAATTATAGAATATAAGCATTCCAAACGATAAAACTATGAAAAGTAACTGACGTCAACAACGCTTTAACTCTTTACAAAAACAATTCTTGTCATTGTCTAAATTGATCACGGTTTGGTAAAGTTTGTTTTCAGCGCTTAATTGAAGCTCGTCACAAATTAAGGCTATAAAATAACATGATAAAAGTAAATTACCTTAAGTACGGAATCCCTAAAGGGACACGCTGATGAAAAAAATATGAGATTGGAGGAAAAATTATACTGCCATTTCAATGATATAAAAAAAAAAAAAAAATTCCTCCAATAATTCTATATTTTTTTCAACCATCATTGAAAATTGACATCGCGAAAGCATTGAAATATGTTTTTCCCCACCAATTATAAACCATTTATACCATCATATCCCTCCGTAGCTTTACATTCTGTGCCCAAAAAATGTGCAAATGTTAGAGGATGCCTTTATAATTTCTGATTTAACATTCCCACAGTTGCCAGTGAAGCGCTGTACCTGCAAGGCCACGAGAGAGAGCAGCAGAAGGACGAGCAGGCGCTGGTTTGCCGGGATCATGTTCAAGGGTTTCCAGTGAGACCGGGATTGAGCCGAACGCTGTTTATATCAACGGCTGATAACAGTATCAGAGATCAATGATCAGCGCCGGACACTTTAACCACAGAAATGAGGGCGACTCCACGTCTACAAGGGTGACGGGACCTTTCATCAAACCAAAGCTAAGTGAGGTGGAAGAGCAGATTAAAATATGAGCCCTGCTGAGATCAGACTGATGAAATATATGACTGAGTTTCCTGATATTCTTGTGTTCATTCATGTGTTTACCTGGTCAATGTCCAAGCTCTTCCCGGAGGATTCCCAATCCCGCATTTACAGGGACACACACATATAATGTAAGTCTGGAATGATGAAAATGCGACACAAATTAAACCTTCTTTGTCCTGGGATGCTAATAATAGCCTATATAATAACATTAAAGTTTTGTAAAGTAATTAATATGGCAGTTTATTTGGTAACACATTACAATAAGCTTGTTAAAATTATGAACTAACAATGAAAAATATTTCTAAAGCATTTATTTATCTTAATAAATGTTAATTTCAACATTTACTAATAAATTATTAAAATCAAAAGTTATTATTTAATTATTATTTTTATATAATAGTTTTATTTTATATTATTTAATGGACCTGAGCTGACAGTAACAGTTAATGTTAGTTAAAAGGTATTAACTGATGAGACCTTATATTTAAAGTTCATATTCGATAAATTTTTGCCATTTAAGAAGCCTTTCAAAATAAGTAAATGTTTTTAAAATCATTAGAAATATAAATTTAGCCCAAACATCATAAATTATACTTATAAATTATATTAAAGCATTTATTAATCATAATAAATGTTAATTTCAACATTTACTAATACATTATTCAAATCAAAAGTTGTATCTGTTAATATTATTTAATTGACTTGAGCTGATATGAACTAACAAACAGTTTTATTTTTATTAACTGACATTAACAAATATTAATAGATACTGTAACAAATGTGTTTCTCTTTGTTAGTTTAAAGGTATTAACGTATGGGACCTTATTGTAAAGCTAATATTGGATTAATTTTCAGTATTTAAGAAGACTTTCAAAATTATGTTTTTAAGATCACATTAGAAAAATATATTAAGCCCAAACTTTTATCATATATGTCTTATCACAATAGAGTCATAGTATACATAGAATAATTTAAAGTACAGAAAGGGAAACGATGGCAAAAAAAAGTTTCGCTTTCTTTTACTCCATTACCGAGTCATAATGAAAGACAAACAAGAGCTAATAATAAGTCACACCTAGCATTGACGTGTGTTTGTGTTGCTGGTGTTTGAGCGTTTGCTTCACCTGTCCAGCAGAGGGCAGTGTTACTCCAGCTCATCCACACTCTTCATCCCTGATGTAGTGTTTAGCTTCTTCATGAGGACGCAGGGTTCTCAAGTTTTATCAAAAGCTTGGAGTGAGATCACATGCGGTTAGGGGGAGGAGCCCTAATGGAGCCCCACCCCCACCTATCCCCGCCCCCCAATTTTACCCATTGTTCAAAATTAACCAGCACAAATTGAAATAATAAAAATGGGTAAATCTGATAAATAACAGAGCAATTTATCACATCAAATATACTCTTTAATGTTATATTTCAAAATTACAAATATACAAAAATATAACAAATTGCTCCAAACAGTTTGGAAAAACAAATCTTTTTGCATTTTGAATGTGTCTAGTCGAAATGTATAATGATTTATTGTGTGGTGGGACATTGTGAACAAATGGACATATTAGAGTATTGAGGTGTGTGTGTGTGTGTGTGTGTGTATGTGTTCCTTCCCATACCCACTAACATTTCCCTAAGTTTCAGATAACGTAAGCTAGCCAAACTGAGCCAAAGCTTCTGGCCTGGTTGCAAAGTAGTTGTAGACTTTTTGACTGCATCAATAATAATGTATACGATGGGTTATATATTAAATGTTCTAGCCTAAAAATGTTAGACGAGCTTTCTTTCAACTTCTCCATCACGACGTGGGTTCGCGCGAGGTTGTTGGTTACCTAGTAACGAACGTACGGTGGCCGAGAATGTTCCGTCAACTTCCGTGTTTTTGCGCATCTATGTTGCCTAGTAACGAACGTACGGTGGCCGAGAATGTTCCGTCAACTTCCGTGTTTTTGCGCATCTATGTTGCCTAGTAACGAACGTACGGTGGCCGAGAATGTTCCGTCAACTTCCGTGTGTTCGCGCATCTATGTTGCCTAGTAACGAACGTACGGTGGCCGAGAATGTTCCGTCAACTTCCGTGTGTTCGCGCATCTATGTTGCCTAGTAACGAACGTACGGTGGCCGAGAATGTTCCGTCAACTTCCGTGTGTTCGCGCATCTATGTTGCCTAGTAACGAACGTACGGTGGCCGAGAATGTTCCGTCAACTTCCGTGTGTTCGCGCATCTATGTTGCCTAGTAACGAACGTACGGTGGCCGAGAATGTTCCGTCAACTTCCGTGTGTTCTCGCATCTATGTTGCCTAGTAACGAACGTACGGTGGCCGAGAATGTTCCGTCAACTTCCGTGTTTTTGCGCATCTATGTTGCCTAGTAACGAACGTACGGTGGCCGAGAATGTTCCGTCAACTTCCGTGTTTTTGCGCATCTATGTTGCCTAGTAACGAACGTACGGTGGCCGAGAATGTTCCGTCAACTTCCGTGTGTTCGCGCATCTATGTTGCCTAGTAACGAACGTACGGTGGCCGAGAATGTTCCGTCAACTTCCGTGTGTTCGCGCATCTATGTTGCCTAGTAACGAACGTACGGTGGCCGAGAATGTTCCGTCAACTTCCGTGTGTTCGCGCATCTATGTTGCCTAGTAACGAACGTACGGTGGCCGAGAATGTTCCGTCAACTTCCGTGTGTTCGCGCATCTATGTTGCCTAGTAACGAACGTACGGTGGCCGAGAATGTTCCGTCAACTTCCGTGTGTTCTCGCATCTATGTTGCCTAGTAACGAACGTACGGTGGCCGAGAATGTTCCGTCAACTTCCGTGTTTTCGCGCATCTATGTTGCCTAGTAACGAACGTACGGTGGCCGAGAATGTTCCGTCAACTTCCGTGTTTTTGCGCATCTATGTTGCCTAGTAACGAACGTACGGTGGCCGAGAATGTTCCGTCAACTTCCGTGTGTTCGCGCATCTATGTTGCCTAGTAACGAACGTACGGTGGCCGAGAATGTTCCGTCAACTTCCGTGTGTTCGCGCATCTATGTTGCCTAGTAACGAACGTACGGTGGCCGAGAATGTTCCGTCAACTTCCGTGTTTTTGCGCATCTATGTTACCTAGTAACGAACGTACGGTGGCCGAGAATGTTCCGTCAACTTCCGTGTTTTTGCGCATCTATGTTGCCTAGTAACGAACGTACGGTGGCCGAGAATGTTCCGTCAACTTCCGTGTGTTCGCGCATCTATGTTGCCTAGTAACGAACGTACGGTGGCCGAGAATGTTCCGTCAACTTCCGTGTGTTCGCGCATCTATGTTGCCTAGTAACAAACGTACGGTGGCCGAGAATGTTCCGTCAACTTCCGTGTGTTCGCGCATCTATGTTGCCTAGTAACGAACGTACGGTGGCCGAGAATGTTCCGTCAACTTCCGTGTGTTCGCGCATCTATGTTGCCTAGTAACGAACGTACGGTGGCCGAGAATGTTCCGTCAACTTCCGTGTTTTTGCGCATCTATGTTGCCTAGTAACGAACGTACGGTGGCCGAGAATGTTCCGTCAACTTCCGTGTGTTCGCGCATCTATGTTGCCTAGTAACGAACGTACGGTGGCCGGGAATGTTCCGTCAACTTCCGTGTGTTCGCGCATCTATGTTGCCTAGTAACGAACGTACGGTGGCCGGGAATGTTCCGTCAACTTCCGTGTGTTCGCGCATCTATGTTGCCTAGTAACGAACGTACGGTGGCCGGGAATGTTCCGTCAACTTCCGTGTGTTCACGCATCTATGTTGCCTAGTAACGAACGTACGGTGGCCGAGAATGTTCCGTCAACTTCCGTGTGTTCGCGCATCTATGTTGCCTAGTAACAAACGTACGGTGGCCGAGAATGTTCCGTCAACTTCCGTGTGTTCGCGCATCTATGTTGCCTAGTAACGAACGTACGGTGGCCGAGAATGTTCCGTCAACTTCCGTGTTTTTGCGCATCTATGTTGCCTAGTAACGAACGTACGGTGGCCGAGAATGTTCCGTCAACTTCCGTGTGTTCGCGCATCTATGTTGCCTAGTAACGAACGTACGGTGGCCGAGAATGTTCCGTCAACTTCCGTGTGTTCGCGCATCTATGTTGCCTAGTAACGAACGTACGGTGGCCGAGAATGTTCCGTCAACTTCCGTGTGTTCGCGCATCTATGTTGCCTAGTAACGAACGTACGGTGGCCGAGAATGTTCCGTCAACTTCCGTGTGTTCTCGCATCTATGTTGCCTAGTAACGAACGTACGGTGGCCGAGAATGTTCCGTCAACTTCCGTGTTTTCGCGCATCTATGTTGCCTAGTAACGAACGTACGGTGGCCGGGAATGTTCCGTCAACTTCCGTGTGTTCGCGCATCTATGTTGCCTAGTAACGAACGTACGGTGGCCGGGAATGTTCCGTCAACTTCCGTGTGTTCGCGCATCTATGTTGCCTAGTAACGAACGTACGGTGGCCGGGAATGTTCCGTCAACTTCCGTGTGTTCACGCATCTATGTTGCCTAGTAACGAACGTACGGTGGCCGAGAATGTTCCGTCAACTTCCGTGTGTTCTCGCATCTATGTTGCCTAGTAACGAACGTACGGTGGCCGAGAATGTTCCGTCAACTTCCGTGTGTTCTCGCATCTATGTTGCCTAGTAACGAACGTACGGTGGCCGGGAATGTTCCGTCAACTTCCGTGTGTTCGCGCATCTATGTTGCCTAGTAACGAACGTACGGTGGCCGGGAATGTTCCGTCAACTTCCGTGTGTTCACGCATCTATGTTGCCTAGTAACGAACGTACGGTGAGCCGAGAATGTTCCGTCAACTTCCGTGTGTTCGCGCATCTATGTTGCCTAGTAACGAACGTACGGTGGCCGAGAATGTTCCGTCAACTTCCGTGTGTTCTCGCATCTATGTTGCCTAGTAACGAACGTACGGTGGCCGAGAATGTTCCGTCAACTTCCGTGTTTTCGCG